CAACTTCCACAGGCCAGTCCTTATATTAGGCACCCAATAAGGTTTCACTCACAACAAGACACAAAATAAATCTCCTGCAATGGTGCCAAGAACACGTTCAGTTGACCACCAGATGTAGAGTAATGTTATAGTTACAAGTGACTTACATTTCATTCTGCAGCAGTATATTTATTTGGAAATAATCTGGAGCTAGATCCAAACCCATTTTTTCTCAGACACATCGAGCAAGTGACAGTAGTGAGAGTAAAGTTTGAGAAGGAATGCACATTAGTGGTCACACCGATCTTTATACCCCGTAGAGTGATACCATTAATGCCACACATTAAAGGAACAACAGTCTGCAGCCAAACTACATTCTGTGTTGCTATATCATGGTTCAATTCGCCACGGCTTCAATCTAATGAACGATAATGCCCATCCGTCCCCACTACACTAAACTGATCGACATGCAAGATTCCCTGACTAAGAGTGGACTGATTACATGAAGTGTTCTACATGCTAACCGGATTCCAATCCCATCCAGCATGTATGATATGCACAAATTTTGTAAGGAGACGTGGTGCATCGCAACCAATACTATAGATAATAAATATTTCGCAGATACAGCTTTATCATAAGAGAGGTCGAAGATTCCTTAAAATCTTATCAACACTGATTTTAAGCATGAAACATCGGTGCCAAGCTGCCCTTGGTGTTTCTTGTGTCCATACTCTATATTGAAGTCAAATTCATCAACTGCAAAAATGTAATGCTACCTCTACTAAACTTTAGCCATTCAATCTGCATTTGTATTTCTGATCACCTGATGGGTCAACACAAACCGGGTTGTATAAAAATGAACTGGTTTGTTATGAATTTCGCGCAAAGCTACACGAGAGCTATCTGCACTAGCCGTCCTTAATTTTGTAGTGATAGACTAGAGGGAAGGCAGCTAGTCATCACCACCCACCGCCAACTCTTGGGCTACTCTTTTACCAACGAATGGTGGGATTGACTGCCACATTATAAAGCCTCACCACAGCTGAAAGGGTGAGCATGTTTGATGTAACGGGGATTTGAAACCGCGACCCGCAGATTGCGAGTAGGGCGCCCCTAACCACCATGCCATGCCAGGCCAAAAATGATCTGAGAGGGTGATTAAGTTATATTATAACAATGATTGCGTTTCTGAAATATTACAAATTTCAATTATTGTTTGACTGTTTTGTACAATGTGTCATTAACTTTATAATGATTCTTCTTCAGACTTAGTGTGTTATAACTTTATAACATAGCGTAACTAATCAAGTGTGTGTGTCTATGAGACAGAGGGAGAGCTGTTAAGCAAGATGTATATTTATTTGTTTCCGCAAGCTTTGGGACACAACCAGAAAAAAGTTATGTACAGTAAAGGAAATAATTATGCGAGCGCACAAGCGACATGCATTCAGATGTAATCAACAATGAATAATGACAACTAGATGATGATCATATGAATGGTACAAAATACTATTACAGAAAGTACAAAAGAAAAGCAAACACGCTGTACAATACAGTGGTGTCTTTTATATGACCTATTTGCTTAACACGGACCATTGCATCTTGTTTTCATGCTGCCATACAGTTTATCAATTGTAGGGAATAATACAGGATACTTGGGATAATATAAAACAATCTTACCTTGATAAGATTGTGTAATATCGCCCCAAGTATCCTGTATTATTCACCACAATTCATATAAGTTGTTGGGTCGCATTTGACCTACTCAGCTTTTACATAAGTCCATACAACATCAAGAATGTTCAAATCAGGTTATTTTGTGGCCGAGACATGGTTTTAAATGTTCTGTAAGTCTGTTTGCTGTCAAGATACTGTTTCGTCTCATTTGTTGTACGTTTAATATTTCTGTCTTGCTTGAAGGTGAATTCCCGCCCGAGTGAATGGTGAATTACAATCTGCTGTATTTACCAGCAGTCAGAGCACCATCATCTAGCTTGAATTCGTCTATAAAGAACAAACGTTTCCAGCTTTGCACGTGCCACTTTTTTGTAGTCTAATGCCCATTTGAACCACTTAGGTTGGTTACCACTTTTCAGCAGGAGTTATCGAGTAGCTACACGTCCATTTACGCTTCTTCTTGTTAATACATTCTTAGCGTTCTCGAGGTAAAATTCATACATGTACCTACAATAAAGTCGTTGACAAGACCTGCACTCGATCGTCGACTATTTCATAAAGAACAAAAAAAAAATGAGCCAAGACTTCTTGTTCCAGTAGGAACTGTATGCAAATCTATAAAAGAGTACGTGAGATTGGTAATATTAATAATAGAAATATTTCATGAAAAAATCCAAAAATCTTCAAAATTTATGCTATATATTTCAGAATTTATTCAGAGTATCCTAGGAATCAAAACTTTCATTTCCACACGCTGGTGCTTCAGTACTGAAAGCCAAGATTGAAAATCACACTGCCACTACTAGGTATAGTAATATTACTTGAACTTTTATAGGATTTATACTGAAATGACATTTTCTGATTGGAGGATGACAATCAATAACAGCGTAAACAACCAACACGTGACAGTATTCTGGTGTAGTTAATTGTGTCAAATAAAGGGGTGGTAATCACGTAATATTTGCGTTTTATATCTTTTTACTCGCCATTTACATAATTATTTCAAACACTGTAAATTTAATTAAGAATTTATTCTATGATACTCGAAAATGTAACCATTTTGCTACGAAGAAAATTAAAAAATTGATTATATAGTTTTACAAATATTTGTTATTGGTGAATCTGCAGGTAATTAAACGAAAGTTACAGAATTGCCTTACATTGTGTTATTTACTTCAAGCTTTAGACTTCCTTGCCGGAGCCGTCGAAAAGCAATAAATGTTTCCTTTAGGTCAGATCCACAAAGGAACGTTAAAACTAAGTAAAATTTAATTTAATCCTTGTTAGAAGACGTTCACAAATATTAAACGTTACAATAAAAATTGTTAGTAAAAATTTTTCGACATTATTTATCAAAACCAATCTAGTCATTTCTGGAAGAACAATGAGAAAAAACTTTATAGAGATGGCAATCTATCTTTGTTTTTCAGTAACAAAAAATAAGAGTTGTTATTAAAAATTTTAACACGCCAGTATCTTGCCATCTCTCCAGGCTAAATTTGTCCATATTAAATATTGCTGTTGTGCGGCCAACAATTTTCGTTTACGAGAATTTTGATCTTAATATGAGCACTTGTCTAAAAAATAAATGAAAAAGGAAATGGACAAAAACTGTTAAATGAAAAAATTATCCCACAACGTTTTTCTTTTTAGAACTACATAATATGGTCAATAGTTATCAAAATGAACTGTTAAGAACACATTTACAACTACTAAATAATGTCCATGTTCTCTAGTTTATGCTCTTCCATACTTCACCTTAAACTGTTTTTTTCGTTATTTGAATACATATACTATAACTCTGATGTGATCGTTGGTTGTCTGATCAACATAAAATGTTACGACAAACAGATAAAAGTGCATAGATAGTCAGTTTTTACAAGTAAATAAAACAGAAATACTTAATGACGTTTTTCTTCTGATCTTATGTAGGATGTGTTCAACACAACAACTACTGCTAGTACTAGGATATGACCATCTCTAACATTATCAAATAAGAGTTTTAATTATAACATTTATTCTTTTATAGTTTTCAAGATATTTCGCTTAATCAAACATCTAAACTATTACACTATTCTGCTAGATACTTTCCCAGGAATACGCTTTCCTTTACAAATTCAAAAGGCCTGTAGTTAAAAGCGCATATTATGTTAATAAAGAATAACTAACATGAATTAAAACTATCGTGTTAGGCATATTACTTACTGACTGGCCTCAGTAATCAATGTCAAAGAAACTAAAAAATATATTACGCATAATTTTAGCTAAGCTGTTCTTCACATAGTTTAACTATTAAACTGTGTTGACCTTTCGACTACGTTTGAACCGGACGAGCACAGAGGTTTAATGAACCCTTTTTATTTGGGCAATTTCAACGCCACAAAATAGTGAGACCCTTTTCACATTTTCAGCAAATTAGAGCTTTTAAAACTATAATAATAATATTTTAGTATCTAATACGCCTTCAGTAAAAATGAATGTTTATTTCGCTGCTCTTTACTACATTGACACGTTATGCTCACTATTTAATTATTTACTCTGGCATAATTATCAGAAGTTTCACACTGTTACCATGATAGCAACCATAAAGTACTACAAATTTACGTAAGAAAGCAGATCCCATTCATGAACTATTCAACAATGCCACAAACTCTAGTCGTCACTTATGTAATTTAAGATGTTTTTCTCACACAATGTTGCACCATTTTCTTTACAGTACCAATCTAAAGTTCTTTCTTTAACCTGAAGTTTAGGGTAAATATTATCTTAAAATTCGCAAAAATTCAATTTCTGTTTAGAACCTCAAGTTTAAGGTACTTGTTCCAACAAATATCGCATCAAACTGGTTCAAGATTAAAATTCAATAAAAATCATATTTACTTGTATTTACATTTGTATTAAACTTGTGTTTCATCTTTAGCGAACTGTATAAAATAAAGCATACTTCTTTAATTTATTAGTTTCATCCTCAGATACAAGTTTATATTATCACAGTCAGAAACAATGGATGTTATAAACACTGATAGGCCTATCTACTAGTATGGCCCATTCTTCTGGGATGAGCATATTTTCGAGCGAAACGAAAGATCTATTATTTATTTTATTCACACTAAGAATTACCAGACAGTGCAGCCCTACCAAAATATTACAGAACTGACCGATATTGATAGTAAAACTATATTTGTGAATACTCTGAAGACAGAAACCTCCGTGGCTTTGCAAATGTAATAATATATATTTACACACTACTTTCCCTAACTTTTATTAGGGCAAGAGAAAGACATTATTATATAAACACTGAAACCTGTTCTATCTTTATTAGTGTTTGCAGATAAATAGCTTACCTTTATTGACGTCAGGATATGATTTAAATTTTAAAAACCTCACTTCGATCAAAATCGACGAAAGAAATGGCTGTTTTGAAAAAATCTCACGGTGGATAGAACACCGCCTAACTGTGTCATCCACGTCAATACAAAAGTTAAGTTGATTTTACGAGAAAATGCAGGCCGATAACTTTCGTCAGTTACTTTGTCGAGTGTGCGCCTCGAGCTAAACGTGCGTGTTTTCAAGTGTGTTTAGTTTTAATTCAGTTTTTATTACTGCTTAAGGACTATAACATCCTCCTTCTTCTCCTCCAAATTGTCGGGGCAAGTCCAATCAGCGTCAGAGTGTACAGTTCTTCAAGTCTTTTAATTATTATTCTTGAAATGTCCGGCAGAAATCTTAAAACCGCTTCAAAGCCTACCTTGTTTATTTATAGCTTAAAAAAGTTTTGGCCAATCAACTCTGACCTCTTCAATACGTGTAGAGCCTACGCAAGTTACAGGTTTGTCTCCGTGTTAAACCCAACAAACATTGCTGAATGCTTCTATACAATTGGAGGTAGGAGCTGTAATAATAAACAGATATAGCAATGTATTATGATCAAATCAACTTTCTCGTCAACTTGAGCCAAAAGCAGAATTCTTCGACGACCGTTATCATGCGCCACGAATCTCGGTCTAACACATTCGCAAGAAATCACCCTCTAAACACGAATAATCGCGTTTTAGTTCGCGCAAGCGCGGGATTTAGACTTTATGGCTGCCTCTCTAACAGAAACACACGCACTTTTCATCATCAGTCCGACAACCGGCCAAATAGCAGACGACGTACGCACGAGGCCTGATCAGCCCATTATTCGGTAGGGGTAGAGACATGTTTGGTGAAAGTGAATTAAGATCAAAATATTTTTGTGTGATTAAAACTATTACGGCGAAAGTACATATTTTCACTATGTTGTTTGAATCGTCCCGTCTGGCTTATACGAGGAAATGGTTGTGTCTGATAAATTGTTGAATTTAATTTGTGATCACTTTTGGAAAAAAAAAGAAGAATATTGTACATTGTAACTAGTGTTCGTGTTTATCTGTAGACGAAGTTCTAATACCCAATATAAAAATTTACTTTATGTTTGAGTCCAAGCACTTTTTTATGATGTCGTGCTGGTTTTTTATTGTTGTTGTTGTTGTTTTAATGAAGAAAAGTGCGAAGGTTTTACATAAGACCATTATTTGCTTTAAAATTGTACAGATTCTTTAGTGCAGAAGCCATAGCAAATACACAATATTAGTATGGGCTCGTTGGGTGGGAGCCTTGTACTGAGAAAATTTGGGACATTTTCTTTGCTACAGGCAAAACGACAAAAGGAGAGTAATTTGATTTGTTTGAAATTAACAAAAACAGTCTATGTCTCTGTAGGATGTGAATTTAGTTGCTGGTACTACGAAAATATTTCAACTCTGTAAACCTGTGTAATGTAATATTTTATAAAAATCTGTTTTTATTGAGAAAATAATTTACAACCAACTTTCGTCTCAACTTTTATAGTTACAATTAATTTTCTTAATATTCCTCACACAATCGTTGTTCATGAAAATTGATGGAATATATAGCGCCTTGACCACTACTATACCTTTCGTATTCCAGCAAGCCTGATGAGATACGGTATTGAACGAAAGGCCTCACGACACTGTATTTGGCAGATGTCGTGTGGTTGATATATTATAACGTATTATTCTTTGCTTTCACTCGTGAGGTCTTGAAATTACTAATGCAGTTTTCTCTTGTTAACGCTGTGGTTCCTTGACTGAATGTAGGGGAAAAGTCACAATTTGAAAATATATGTATATAATTTTTGAAGTTCATATTAGTTAAATTGTTTAATTATTCCACTCATTTATGTGATGACTGACCTCATATATGCCTTGACTCTGCGTTATATATAAATATACTTGTCAACTTAACAGACTGTTTTTATCATTGAATATACAGGTAATGCCATGATGTTATGTAAGTCGTGTGATTAATGTGTGTGTGTATGCCATGTACTTTTCATATAATGTTACGTATCATGCATAATTCTATTATTACAATAAATAAACAACTTAAAATGTTTTTTGTTGTATTACTTTACATTGTGTTTGGGTATTAAGAAATGTCTGACTTTTTTCCGGCCACCGCTTACTGGTTCGCCAGTTGTTGTGAATGACAATAAAGAACAATTAAAATAAAATAATAATGTTAATAAAATAAATACCTAAATAACAAGTGTTAAAATAAAAACAAAAAAAATTGTTACTAATTCTTACCCTAAAGATATGATTAGTAAATAACCTAAACAAAATTTATAATAATTACAATTCACTTGCTTAATTTGTTTCCCATCATAACAGTCGTTGTTCATGAAACTTGATGATATTTGTTTAGCGCCTACCCCATTACTAAGCCTGTCTTATCCCATCCGGCTTGCTGAGCCCTGGTATTGGACGAATGTATGCGTCGGCAGTGGATATGGCAAATGTGATGTGGTTAACACATTATAACATTCTTCTTTTCTTTCACTCATGGGTTCTCAAAATTAAAATATGAACGTGCATATTGAATACTTACTCATCATAACTTTGAAGTGCTATCAGCCTACAAGAAAATAAGAAACGGAAAAAGTCTATGTTAATGGAGTAGAAGTACCATTTGTATAATTACACTGACCATTTTTCTCATTAAGAGAGCAGTAAATAACAAATATACAAGCCCTTCCTTAATATGCTTTTCATGGTTGTGTCATGTTTTGAATCTTCATAATAAGTCAGATGATGAAAGATAATGAAGTCAGTTTTGTTTTTTACACTTTTTCTCTCTCTTTTTTGTATATCATGCACGTTGGCGGACTGGTGTTGGTAAGAAACACTATTTTGGAATGACTCCAGTTCAAAGCGCATAAAACAAGGTAAGTTTGGGTTACAAAATAATTAGCAATTTTGAACAATTTTTTGGTTGTGGACGAGAATGAAGTTGAGTATTCAGACTGCTGTCGATTATTACAAGTTTGAATAACAAGTACGTCTCGTAAAACAGCCCCTTTAGTTAAATAATTTCAGCACGAGCCACCAAAAAGCATTTTTCACGTGCAACTTCTCAATTCTGAAAAATTCGGGAAATTTATGAAAACGTACTTGAAAAGTCAGAAAAGAAGATTGTATCCATTCATTCGATATTCTTGTAGTTTTAATTATTATGATATTTTATTTAGTGTTAAAATAAATAAATAATTTGATGTTAATAAAAAAATCATAAACCTAATTCTGCTGTGTAGTGTCTTACATAAAAGTGATAAAGATTACTGTTCATTATTCTAGTTCTCACCGAAATAGTTGTTGTTCAAGTAACTGATGTTATAAATAACGTCTGGACCACTATTCTATCCTCGGTATTCCAACCGACTTGATGGGCTCTGATAATGAGCGAAAGACCTCCTCGACACCAGATACGGCAGTGTAATATAATTTTTACCTCGTACATACCAACATAAACACTGCATCTGGTAATACTCGACAGATAGAGCTATGTTCAAAACTTTGGTTGATAAGTTATATTTTTCTCTTAGTTTTTGAAATTAAAATAATTTCATCTTTTCTCTGAAAATTAACCTAAAACTAAAGTTACACAGTTACAAATACCTATTGCTTTCGTACTTGAGAGAAATGAGTGATGAACTTTTTATTGGGGCAAGATTTATTCCATTCATTCTTAAGTTGGAACTCGAGGAACGACTCGTACTTCTCTTAATTCAACTAAAGTCATTAATTAGCGCTACTCAGATGAAAAAGTTGAACTGTCGCGTTTTAATTGGACAACCTTCGTGCTCACTGTTCTCGTATAAAAACGCTAGACTGATGAACCAAAAACGCTTTTTAGGACTTAACAGAGGTGATAAAGATCACGTTTGAATGCAGGTGCTCTTTTTTATGAGATTTATTTTAATTAGTTCATTAAGGACATCAAATCAGAGATGTGTAAAAATAGTCTTTCAGAACTATTTTTCGTCTGCTTCACGGGACATTTTTTCGTTCAATAGTAGAATTTTGACTTGAAATCCGCAATAAACTTATATCGTAAGATGAATGTGTTGATACACTTGAAGTCAAACGTAAATGTCATTACTTTATTTAGACTTAACATGTTACTTGCTTACTCGTGTATTATTATTACGGGAATATAATTTCTCAATAATGCACTATTACAGTTATAACCTCCAGTTATGTTTCATTATTCTATTTGACGTAAATCGTCACTAAACATCTCCCATAAGTATAGATCAGTGATACATTTTATGACTTTTTGTCATTAAACTCATGGGATTCAACAGTGTTTTTTACAATGATTTATTTTTTGACGAATAAATATCACCATCATTATGATAACATTTAAGTATTGTTCTGTACAAAAAGTGCAAAAAGACAAAATGTAAACTGTATAAAGAATAATTTCATGTTTATTGTATATAACAAAAACACAGAAGAATAAAAAATGAAACAAATCCATGTGTAACTGATATGGTATTCATATTTCATGAGGCTGGTTTCGCATGCATTGTTTTATATTTTAGTCCAGAAATAAGCAGAAATCAGACGTACTATGTAAACAGATGATTGTTCTCACGTCTACAAATAAAACAAGTCAAAAGCTGACAACTGAGAAAGGTCAAAATCTCTATAGATGGGTAATTCGTAGACTAGGGTAATCATATATAACATTTGCGATAAATAAATAAAATAATTAACAAATAATACTTTGTCAAGAAGTTTAAGATTTGTTGGTTGGTTTTAGATATCTAATGTGGGCACGTATGAATTCGAACCCCGTACTTTTGCGTTATAAGTCCATAAACGTACCACTGTCCCACTGGTTCACAAAATTTAGGAACATACGTGTAATTGTTATGATAAAGTTTTGTGGCAGAAAACAACATGAACCTGAGCTAATAGAAAGAACATTTGTTGTTCTAATAAAAACATTGACTACAAATATTTATTGCAACAAACAAATACAAGTTCCGTTATCAATATATTGTTTGTTTTTGAATTTCGCGCAAAGCTACACGAGGGCTATCTGCGCTAGTCGTCCCTAATTTAGCAGTGTAAGACTAGAGGGAAGGCAGCTAGTCATCACCACCCACCGCCAACTCTTGGGCTACCCTTTTACCAACGAATAGTGGGATTGACCGTCACATTATAACGCCCCCACGGCTGAAAGGGCGAGCATGTTTGGTGTGACGGGGATTCGAACCCACGACCCTCGGATTGTGAGTCGAGCGCCCTAACCACCTGGCCATGCCGGGCCTTATCAATATATGTATGTGTTTGTGTGTGTGTTTTTATGAGTGTGTATGTATGTGTTTGGGTGTGTATTTATGTGTGTGTGTTTGTGTGTGTGTGAGCAAATTTATTTGAGTTGTAGGCCTCTGACTTCTAGGAAAATTTTATTCAGTATTAGCTCTTTACATTCAATCATTTTGTCTATATTACCTATACATATCTTTGTTGCTGGTGAAAAATATCACATTTAATAAATCCTATTTACATATTATTCATTAATATATATATATATATATACATTTATAGAGAGACAAATATTAAGATTACAAAATAGCTATCACAACTGAATCAAAACTGTCTATTATGTTTAG